CAAATTCTCCTCACACAAGTTGCCTGTCTATTTCCATTTGGACCCTGTGGCACACCGTATCCAGAAATGTTCCTGCTTACGCCGTCTGATCTTCGGCAGCAGGAGTTAATAGCATGTCTGGGTGTGTGAAAACCGTCGGGAAAATGTATATTTGAACATTTCATTGACATCGGTGCAGTAAAGAAGACCTTTTGCAGGGGGTGTTGCTAGAGTCTTCTGAAATTAGAAGCTTAGCTCAGAGACCTAATCTGTCTGATGGTCCACCCCACTCCACCCTCAGCCCCAGAAGGTCACAGTACTACGGATTTGGGAAATGCTGCCTTGGACTAGGACTGTTGTGATGTATGGAATTCCGAAACTGAGACTATGGTTGTTAAAAGTTCTGGGTCAAGCATTATTGGGGCTCATTTGGATCCATTTAGGGCTTCCGCCCCCCAGTGGCCCACGTTGGTGACGTGCCTATGCGCTACCCCCTCTGACCGACATGCTGCTGCTTGGCTGCTGTTTTTCTGCTGGCACTCGAGAGATTCATTTCTGGAGATCCTTAATAAACCCCCGATATAGCAAAGGCGGGGGTGGTAATGATACAAGCGGGGAGCATCCCGCTGCAATCGTGACATGGCACGGATGGCGACCGGCACTGAAGTGGGCCCAAATGGGTCTCATTCAGCAGAGGAAATTGGGGCTGACAGGGAGATGGGATGGTGCAGGGTGAGCGATGTGCCCTTCAAGGGGCCCCTGAGCAGGAAGCATCCCATCTGCCCACTCCACTGGCCACTCACACTCTGGTAGCGGCTTCCCAAATGGCCGCTACTGATGAACTGCAAATTAAGGAGGACAAAAACGGAAAGGCATTGGACGGGGGGAGGTGGGCTGCCTCGCAGAGGTGAGAATATCTGTGCCACTACAGTACAAGTAAGCCTGTTTTAGCTGACTTTTCACGTTTTATCCTTAATTAGTGACTATACAAATATAGCCAGGAAGTGTAAGATGACATACGAAAATGTGAAATGTCGTGTTACATCTTGTTTTTGATATTATTCCATTATAATTTCCTTATTTTGACAACTTCTCTGTCACAGTAGAGAAGCCTGCTAACCTCAGTACTGGGCAATGTTAAGCCAGTGTTTACAAATAAAAGCATAGCTATACTGAGAGAACTGACCATCATTTAATATTGAATGGATGTATAGATATTTTTAAGGGCCTAATCAACAGAGTAACTTATCTAAAGGCTTCTCTTTGGTAACACACCATTACTATATTCCATCCATCCATCCATCCATCCGTCCGTCTTCCAAACACTCATTCAGTATAGGGTCAAAGGGGAGCCTTTAGCCCATCCTAGTCAGCTGACATTATTAGATACTTGTATAATACTAGGATGTATTATACAAATATCACTTCATCTTCCAACCACTTAATCTGCCTATATGCATATATTTTCTTGTTTATGTTATATACAAGGTAACATGACTATCCATACATGCATCTATCTCCAAACCTCTTAACCTGGTCAGGGTCATGGATGTCCTGAGGTCTATCCCAAGCAGCACTAGGCACAAAGCTTTATTACATATCTATTATATAAACATATACAGTATTAATTTCATATATAAGGTCATATTACTAATCACTAACAAACACATCTGTTTTTATAAACATATGTTAATGTCATATACAAGGTAACATTACTAAGCATTAACAAATAAGCTATTGTATTTGGTAATACCTTACAACGGGGTACTGTAGTATAACCGATGGGAGCTGCGTCTCACTCTGAATTGCACCTTTTTATGCGCAGCTGGATGTGTAATCTTTAATGCCCTTCATTACTTGTCCTTGTCCCTCCCAGTGCACTCCTGTGCAGTGATCTTATCTAAAAATACAAGGCATCAGACCTCACAATATCCCCCAGAACCCGGCGGTGCCATTAGACAGGGCCGCAGAACGGGTGGCGAGGCTGCGTCTTAAAGTGGCAGTACTCCTGCCTGCACTGTCATTAGCCCGAGTTCAGTTTAGCGTGCTGATGAATCAGTAACATTTCAAAAGCGTTCGGCACTTAGTCATAGTTTGACTCATTTGTGTCCCGGCGACGTGTTTCTGCGCCACAGAAGGCTGTGAGTTGAGAATGTCGGGGCTCAGTAGGGCAGCTCAGCCAAGGCCTTGTTGCACTTCGCCGTTGTGTAATGGCAACATTACGCGATTTTCTGATCTATAATGCAGCCCAACAGAACTCAACTGGAATGATAAATAATGATACAGATGTGAATTATGTGGTGTGATGCAGTACATCCATCCATCTGAAAAACCTCTTATCCAGCACCAAGTCCTGGTGAGCTTGGAGTCTGCTCCAGGAAGTACAGGGCACAAGGCGGGAGACAGAATGCCAGTCCATGGTGGGGCACACACTCTCACATACCATGGGCATGACGCAGAGGCATGATGCAGAAAATATCAGTGAAAAACGAAGGCATTGTGTGCTGCAGGAAACCAAAGCATGTTGCTGCAGGAAACTATAAAAAGCTTTGGAACGGTGGTTTTTCAGCTCAGGTAACACAATTTAAAACCAGAGAATAACACTCAGAAATAAATATGACACTTTTGTTGGTAGCTAGAGCTAGACAACTTTCAGAAGCTTTAGTTAAAGATAAACATCTTCTAGCAATGCTTGTGTAAGTGATAATACAGAAAATATGATTTTAAAATGTATTTATGAGTGGATGAAAAGCCAGTGTTATTACTACCATAGGGATGAAAGAAGTATATCATGAACTTAAGTAACCTGTGTTACAAAGTCATTTGTTACTTTTTTTGGGCAATGCCACTTTTTTCACAACTCAAAGGACTGAATATAAGAAAAAGTGACACTAAAGCCGTTGTACGGAGATTATATATCCATCTACAAATGCTTATCCGGGAGGGGTCGTGATAAGCCTGGACCGTATCCCAGGCAGCACTGAGCACACGGCAGCAGGCCACATATACAGTTATTGTCAGTATTTGGACAATGAGTAAGATGAATAAGCAGAACAGAAAAGGCGAGAATGACTAACTTGCACCGGTGCATAATTCGCTATGAAAACCCGGAGAGAAACAGAGGCTGCAGCATCAGATTGACAGGCTTCGGCGCCGTTTGAACTTCGTCTTTGCTTGTTGGTTGCATTTTAAACCCTTCCGCCTGACAGCTTGACAGAGGGGAGAAACAAAGAGACCCTATGAAAGACATTAAATATTTATGACTCGATGCGCGACAGCAATAATCACATGCGTAACGAATACTGCGATACAACAGATCCGCCAATAACATGTTCGGGAAATTCGTTCTTTCAAAAAGAATAAAAAAATATAAAAATACAGACATATATATTTCGCTGACTACATAATATTATGCAGCCAAAATAATGCTGATTGTCCCACATGTATCTACTTTGTTATTGCATATACTGCAGATTTGGGAACGATCCATGTACATTATATTTATTTATTTGTTTGACCATTTGATATGCCGGTTGTTTTATCCTTCAAACGTCTATAGCCATTGCTACATGCAGGTAACACAGATGCTCATATTAAGCAAATCGATGAGAATCATAAAGCATCTGCACAAGCCGCAAAACCGGAGCCGCTTCTCCCTGAGCACGAAACACGCGCAGGATTTAGCGGCTGAACCGTATAAGCAGAGCTTATTTTATTTTCGGTAAGTCACTTAAACATTTATTCTTCTCTAAAAGCAAATAAATCTTTAAAATGTGGGAGGGACTGAATACGTTTCACGTCCATTTGTACTAGCTATAATTTTTACTTTCGTCGTGTTGCTGGCGGCAGCTTTCCATTGCTTTACGTAGTTTTCTCGTTTGATCCGTAGTAAGAGCACATCAAGGCGCACTTACTACATCTTCAATATCGCACGGTGATTCTCTTCTTGCGGTATGACTTAATTCGCGTAAACAGATTTCACGCGGGCTGAATTGAATCACGACGTGAAGCTGGCATTTGTTTTCAAATTGAGAAGTAACTTATAATTATGCATTGAAATTACAAAGTTGTCTCATTGGGGAAAGAAATACAAATAACAGCAAAAAAAAAAAACAACTAGCTTTTTATATTGTGGTTCTACATGTCGGATGATTAATGAAGAATCTCCTTTTTTAATAATCGTGTTAATTAAAGAAAATCGTAGTGGTGCACTTTTAAACCATGCCTGTGGGCCATGTTGTAGCTGTAATTCGATCCAAACATCCTTAATTGAATGTTAAGATTAAACTAACTTTCTTACCGCACTGGGGAGCCTTTGGCATTAACACTACAGGATATACTGTATAGGAAAACTTTTGGTGTTTCTTTCCTTTGACATAGACGTAGGACCATTTGAATTATTTGCCACGTTTTGTGGTTCTGGCCAAATTTAAAACCCATTCGAAGAGGTTTTGTGTGGTGTGTGTGTGTGTGTGTGGATTATATTTACAGTACATTACATTGTGGGCACTAAATGTTCCCCCATAATGTAATAAAAACCTGTTATTTTGACATTGTGGGGACCATTTTTCAGGTCCCCACAAAGATCCGTGAATGCAGTCAAAAACGTAAAAATGCCAAAAGTGTTGTATTTTGTTTGGTTAATTATAAGGTTAGAACTGGGTAAGGGTTAAGGTCATCATGTTTCCCCATTGAAATGGATGGAGAGTCCCCACAAAGATATAATTACAAGCCTGTACAGTATGTGCGTGTGTATGTTTTGGATCTATTTACACTCATCTGTTCAAATTTATCTTCCTTTCCATGCATTTCCTCAGCCATCCACTTTCCGTGTTTCTCATTTAATGGATGGTCTCTAGAGATATTCCTAGTTGGGGAAAAGGGGATGCCTTTTAAAGACTTTGACCAGGCTGCTCTAATGAATTCCAGTTGAATTAACCTCACAAACTTGATCTATCCATGCTGCTTAAGTGTACACTCTGTCTACGATGATGCCAACACTGGTCTGTTTTCGTTTCCAGTGATCGGCCTCTCGAGGAGGACGGGAAGGAGAAAGTGAGCCATTAGGAAACTCTGTAAGTATTTCTTTGGCAAAATACCCTTCTTATATTTTTGAAATTGCTTCACCAGCAGGTTGTGGGGTCCTCTGATATTCTTAGATAGGCTGCAAATGTGTGATGCATTTAAATGGCTGATATTCACACGTGCGGCTGGGGAATTCTGGATTTCAATGACTGCGGAGTAGCGGGGGGGGGGTCAGGCTCCCAGGGGACGTCACATGGTATTCTTAGCAGTACAATTACAGCATCTCCAGATCCACCCATTCATCACGCTGGAGCTCTTCAAATGGACTTCCAAAATTAGCCCGACACCTGCCAGCCCATGGCCAAAGAACAGCCCCCCTCCCCATTAATGAGAACAGGAAGCTTAAAAGCAGCTGTGCTGGTGATGGCTGTCCGTTTTCTGTGCTAATCTTGTGGAATCCGCGGTAATCCCAAAAAGGAGGCGTCTGTTTGGAGAGTTTTGGAGGTCTGGGAGTTGGTGTATACACACATTTATAGTTGTATGCACACACGTGTATAGTTATAGGCATACACTCACCTAAAGGATTATTAGGAACACCTGTTCAATTTCTCATTAATGCAATTATCTAAT